TAACTACAAGAAAAAGCATACCATAATCCTTACATCTGTAATGCTAAATACGAAATTAATAGGATGATAATGTCCACGAATAATGGTGAACATGGAAGACTTAGAAAGACAAAGTAATGGAAGTGTTTCTAATAATTCCAGTTTTTGTTATACAATTAATAATTATAAAGAAATATTTTTTGGGCCAGAAAACATTTCAAAAAATATTACACTATGCTTTTGTTGCTGACGATGCTGTTGTTTTAAATATGCACTTGATAAAACCATATCCTAATCAAAATATTGCTTTAGATAAAAGAATATTTAGTCACAAACTTTTAAGAACTAGTAGGGTTATAAAAAATACATTTGACATCAAAATGCTTTTACATATTTCGCAAACCAATTATTGCTAATTTCGAAAAAGCAATTTTAATAACACAAGCAATTGTAGCCTTGAAAAAATAAGCAAATAATTTTTTCAACTGTTCCACAAATTACTCCAATATTAACGGTCTTGTTGGTTTTAGATCAATTGATTCAAGAAAATATAATTTACGTTCTAGTGCACTACAACCACTGTCACATTCATGTTCAAACAAATGCATTACAAATTAGAGAAGACTTTAAAGAAAAATTTCTTAGACCGATAAAAGAACTGGTTCAAATTGAAAAATTGAAAAAAAAAAATGGGTCGGCAATTTGACTACCAAGTCAGAAACTCATAAATTTGTTAAAAATTTCAACTCATTCATGTTTCAATAAAAAAATAATCTAAAATTTCTGTACAGTTTCCGAAAATAAAGTAAACTTTATCATTCTTGATAAAACTTTAATCATGACAATTCACTCGAATGTAATAATATTTTGTATAAATTATTCATATTTGTAAAATTCTGTATGAAACAGATAAAAATAGAGTATTAGAAAGTGAAAAAAAATATGTTATAAAAATCAAATAAACTAAAGAAACTATTGATATATGTGACAAAAAAATATTATAGTAAGCAATGAGTTTCAAATTGTTGGCAAAATTATATGAAACATTTTAATCTTTTAGTGTTCAAAAGAAAACGTTGATAAAGTTACTGATTGATATGATAAAATTCAGTTGCAAAACTTTTAAGATATGACACTTGTAATTTTAACCATATCAATTACATAATCTCACTTTAGAAATAATGTACAATCTTTCTATTTTATTATAAAAAGATTACTTTATATAATTAAATATTTCATTAAAAGATAATATGCCACAAAAGTTTTGGTGTATATAGATTTGTTATATAAAAGAACTATGTAAACTATACATTCTAACATTTAACTCAAAACCCTCTGAAAATGACTTATGTGATTGCAAAACAACCGTTACAATTTACAGAATCAATTATTGGTCTAAATATCAAAAAAATGCTAAGAAGCTAAGTAATGTTTCTAACTTGGCTGCTTAGTATCGCTTTGGTTAACTATCATACATGTATTCCTATACGATATACAATCTTTGCCATCGTACACGGATTACTTTTTCAGTAAGCTTAAGAGGTATGTTTGTATCGGAAATATTGCCACAAATTGTTTATATTTTTTGAATGGTTATCAAACTTATTTCTGAAATATTAACTTAACAATGTAAACATATCTTTTGAGTCTTGTAATTGTACTAAAAAAACAATCTGTGTACAATGCCAAAGGTTGAATGTTGTTATCGCAGACATGATCCCCAGCCGTTTAGTTAGGAAAGAAGAAAATGGGTCAAAACAATCGCCTTAAACAACAAGTTTCAGAAGACGTAGAAAGAATCAGATAAAACCAAATCCAACACCTCAAAGTTAAGCTTCACCTCAGAGATAAAATCGCGAAGAAATATGTAAACAATTATGGCTGCTAACGAATGACAAACCTTATTCAAATTTGATTAAAGATTGCAAAGAAGTATTTGGAAACGGAGAAAATAATTCTTATGACAGAGAGAAAGCTAATAAAATATACCATGTTTCTAATTCTTCTTCACCAATACAGCCCTACAGTCCTGGATTGTATCCAAACATTAGAACTCAAGCAGAAGACGAAACAAATGAAGACGATAGCAAAACGCCTGTTGAGAAGATAAGATAACTAGACAAACATTCAAAAACACTAAAAAAGTTGGGAAATATAATATTATCGAGCTGTCACCAGATGAAGACTTTGAAGAGGAAACGGGATGCTGCGACAGCGTCACTAAAACAGAAAAATGCGAAAATATCAAACAAAACAACTCGGTAAATATAAACTTTAAAATTGTTAAACCTAAGGGAATATGTTTAAAATTATTAAATTGTTTGCTCACTAAATATATAAGACATATCCGGCTACCAAATATGCAAAGTGAAAAACTGATTTTGAAATACATCAAACTACAGCTGAGTTGAGGGAGACCTTTGGGTTGTGATGAAGATATTTCAAAGTAATCAGGTGCATATAAAAGTGATTTTACGGATTTTAGAAGTTCCCTACATGAATCAAGTTCAGGAGAGTTTGACAACCATTACAAAAATAAGGAAAAACTAACAAAAAAAACAAAAGTGATGATAAATTTGTAAACTAAACGTTACTTCGGTTAAAATTAGCTTTTATGTTTGCCTTCATTACACTTTTTCAAGCACTAATTGGGGATATAAGTGCCGTTGTTAAGAAATTGTAATATGTAATTGAGGAACACAATACATAGTTAAGATATCGTAATATGAAATTGAGAAACAAAACATTTAGAAATCCTAATATGTAATAAGTTAATTGAGATATACAATATGTTATTAGGAATTTTCTAATATATAGATAAAAACAAATAAATTGTATTGTTTAAAAAAGATTTTTTAAAATAATTATTATTTGTATATAAAAACGGACAGCATAAAAACGGGGCAGGAAATGATACAATTTTTGCTCAGGCCATTATTTTCATATATAATATGCATTTATTGTGAATATATGATTTGGCAATAACTTGTGAGTTAGCTTAGTAAAAGGTAAATTTTTTACCTACAATGACAAAATATAAATAAATAGTACCCTAGGAAACAAAGTTCTATAAAATTTCTATAAAATTTCTGTTAATTTCTATAAAAAATTTTATGTAAATTTTTTTCTCCTTTTTCTTCTTTAGAGAAAAAAAAAAATAAAAATATTTTATAGCAATATCTATAAAAATTAATAGACATTTTATAGAAATTCTATAAAATTTCTATAGGCTATATGTGCATAACATGGGAGATACAGAAATACAATACAGAAATACAATAGAATTACATGCTGCAACAAAAATACACGATAGAGTATAAATGAACGCTACAGCATAAATAAATAGTTTATGATAAATATATTTAACAACATATGTACCCGTATATAAGAATCCGTATATAAGAATCACTAAAATGGTATCAATTTAGATTTTGAAGCATAACTTTTTTTAATTTTATTTTACTAAGCTTTTATTTTTATTTTTCTCTTGGAGTTTAAAGCAGTATTTAAGTAGTATTTTTTCTTGGAATTTAAAAAAATTTTGTTATTTAAAATTTAGAATTTAAAAACCAGGGTGAGCAATATTTTTTGGTTTTGAAAATTGAAATATTGCAATAATTTTTTTAATTATTATTTGTTGTATATTTAATCATTAGAAGTTTTTGCACGTTTTGCACGTGATGTAAAAAAAGTTTCATCGTATAATTATGCCACTTTCATTTGATTAAAATATGTGATGTAAAAAAAGTTTCATCGTATAATTATGCCACTTTTGTTTGATTAAAATATGTGATGTAAAAAAAGTTTCATCGTATAATTATGCCACTTTCATTTGATTAAAATATGTGATGTAAAAAAAGTTTCATCGTATAATTATGCCACTTTTGTTTGATTAAAATATGTGATGTAAAAAAAGTTTCATCGTATAATTATGCCACTTTTATTTGATTAAAATATGTGATGTAAAAAAAGTTTCATCGTATAATTATGCCACTTTTATTTGATTAAAATATGTGATGTAAAAAAAGTTTCATCGTATAATTATGCCACTTTCATTTGATTAAAATATGTGATGTAAAAAAAGTTTCATCGTATAATTATGCCACTTTCATTTGATTAAAATATGAGATGTAAAAAAAGTTTCATCGTATAATTATGCCACTTTTATTTGATTAAAATATGTGATGTAAAAAAAGTTTCATCGTATAATTATGCCACTTTCATTTGATTAAAATATGTGATGTAAAAAAAGTTTCATCGTATAATTATGCCACTTTCATTTGATTAAAATATGTGATGTAAAAAAAGTTTCATCGTATAATTATGCCACTTTTATTTGATTAAAATATGTGATGTAAAAAAAGTTTCATCGTATAATTATGCCACTTTCATTTGATTAAAATATGTGATGTAAAAAAATTTTCATCGTATAATTATGCCACTTTCATTTGATTAAAATATGAGATGTAAAAAAAGTTTCATCGTATAATTATGCCACTTTCATTTGATTAAAATATGTGATGTAAAAAAAGTTTCATCGTATAATTATGCCACTTTCATTTGATTAAAATATGTGATGTAAAAAAAGTTTCATCGTATAATTATGCCACTTTCATTTGATTAAAATGATCACATATTTTATGTTAAAATTACTATTTAATTCAAAGTAATAAATTTTTACTAAAACTTTAACGTAATTCAATTTTAAACTCACTTGATTTTTAGATAACAATAAAAAACTCACGTACAACAAAGCAGAAAAACTTAACATAAAAAGTAAAAAATCATATTTAGTTTAGTATTTCGTTTCTTTAACTTGAGGATTCGTTTAGAGTTAAACCGTTTTCCTTGGTTTCTTGAAGGTTCGAGTTACCGGTAACTACCTAAGCATGCGTGGGTATTATCTATTGATAGTTATTTATGCCTAATTATGCATGTGCATAGTTGGACATAATTATAATTATGCATAAGCATAATAAGGTTATAAATCTAATTATCAAATTAAATATAAAAAATAAATGTTGAAATTTAAAATTCTTTCAAAATTAAATGAAGTGTTTTCAATTTTTCTGAATGTACTTGAAAATAATCAAGCCCGTCCACTGTCAAACCACCATAACCAGTTATTCCATCACAAAAGTTCCATTCTGCAATCGAACGGTGAAGAAGCTCATCCTATTTAATATTATGAAAATTAAAACATTTAAGTAAAGCAAAACCAAAGAAAATAAAAACACAACAGATTTTTTTACAATAAAAAAAGGCTTTGTTAAAATATTGTATCATTAGTACTATACATAATATAATTAGAAAGAATCATCACTAACAAGCTAGACAAGTTTACAAATTTGACTATAGTCAAACCTGTAAGGTCCGATTTCTAAGGGAATCTCATTTCAATATCGCAAATAGTTCTTCCAGAGTACTAAAAATTGTGTAAAATCCAGAATAGTATTCAAGTCTTTCATCAAATATGGTCGCTGACCAATGCAGAGCAAGGCAGAAGTAAATAGTTTATTTAAGAAAGCAAGAGAGATGAAAATGAGTAACTACCGGGCAGCACTCAAACCATAGTATGACTGCAGACAGACTGAACTAATTAGCAATTTTGAATATATAAACAAATTTTATCTGTTAACCAGCCTTGCATCCCTTCTTTATCTATTAGGCTGGTGTAGATGTATTTATAATAAATTTTTTTCAGTTTAGGGTGTTGAATGCTGGATCTTCTAGACTCATGCACTTTGTTTGTGTCTCTGTCTTTATGACTAGTCAACTTATTCTATTATTTCCTAATGAGAGTACAGTTCTAAAACTCAGTTTTATGGTTCTGAGGCCGGCTGATAGTCAGGTTCCCAGAACACTGTGGTAGCACTCAGAAAGACTGATTTCATGAAGAGCTTTAAAATATCAGAGAGGGGACAGTTCCAGGTTGCGCTTCGATGGTGTCCAAACTTGTTTGAACTTTTGAAGCTCTTTGTTATCAATTAGGGTTATTATCATCAGAATTCCTTTACCATTGTACTTCTTGCATCTACCTTAAGCTGACTAGGACACTTTCTGTAATTTTCTTTGTGATGGCTCTTGGTTAGAAATGTTTTGTTTTCCTGCTGACAAATGTGCATCTTACATAACTTCTTGGATTCAAGCTGGGATGAATCCTTTTTTCCTTCTCCACAATTTCAAGTCAAGCTTTACTCTTCTCCATGATTTACCTGTAATTGTGCTTTTGCAATTTCCATTTGTAACCATTACTTCCTTATCTATCAGCAAAACAATTATTTTTCATTTAAAAAAAAAAATTTCTCGCAACGCATTGCAATAGATTGCATTTAAGGATTTAGCAACTTTGTAAATCAATTGAGGTATTTAAAATGTATCTTTATTTTTGAAAGTTGTAAAATGATTTTTATTGTCAAATTAAAAAGGGAACTTGGTACAAAGATATGGGTCACTGACGCCCTAACACTCACTCCTCCTCGGTACAAGCTAGTACAATCTTTTGAAATCCATATTTTTCCACAGTTTTCACCATCATTTTTATAAAATAAGATCTCCCTCTCTGCGTTAAAACCTCAGTTTAATTTATAAACTTATAATATTTTTTATAAAAATATTTATTACTGTCACAGTTTTCATTATTTGTTGTTTGCATCATTAATATTTTGTATCTTTTATTTTTATTACTACTATTATTAAAGTTATTATGAATATTATCATATATATAAATATAAATGTAAATATATATATATAAATATATACATATATATATATATATATACATATAAATATGAATATATATATATATATATATATATATATATATATAAATATATAAATATATATATATATATATATATATATATATATATATGTATGTATATATATATATATATATATATATATATATATATATATATATATATATATATATATATATATATATATATATATATATATATATATATATATATATATATATAAGTATATATAGAGGAAGACGGGGCAAGATGGCTTTTTCAATAATAATTCAACAAAATAGTTAAAAAAATGAGAGGTATCAAAATTATATACACGCCTTGTATTTTAATGTACTATTCAGTTTTATTAAATATTGTTAACAAGGTTTTATAAGTTTCTTTTTTTCTATGAACTTTTTTTAAGGATATTTTTTAACGTGTGTTTATTTTTTGGTACTTTAGATAAAGTAGTTGATAGTAAAATTAAAAAGGATGGAGTCAGAAAAAACATAAAAGCTATTTTACCTCGATCATGTAAAAGCCATTTTTCCTCGATCATGTAAAAGAATTTTAAATGCTACCTACTTTTTTGTTATCAGGTATGAATAAATCTTTGGAATTCAATTGATTTTGATGACCAATTCCATTACGGCGGAATCTTTCATGTACAGGACACTGAGTAATTGCATACATACCTGCTGCAAGAGCAAGACCTCCCCAATTTGAAACTCCGCATGTTATTAAGTAATCACATGATACATTTGTTGCTATTTCATTTCCATGAGGAACATTTAAAATGACTTTGTCTTGTACCTTTCCCATTCCTACTTCATTTCCTCCATCTCCAATACCAATTGTGATAATGTCAGAGTGATTATTACCTAAAAAAACCAGTTGCTATGAAAGCATTTGAGAATTTTAATTTCAAAAACAGCTTTGTGTAAAAATTAGGCAGAACCAAAAAGTGACCCAAGTTGTGACCCATGTTTCAAATTTGCCAGATTTTATTATGTTAATGCTATTAGTATTAGAAAGTAATTTTTAAAAAATTTTTAAAAAAATATTTATAGTTTTTCCTGGTATTTGTCTATAAATTTTGATAAACTCCTTTAGAATATTGACCAAATAGTACGTATCTAGAAATATAAATATATTGTTATATCAAGTATATTTAAAAATAGTTATAGTCTTTTATTGAAATCAACTTGCAAAATATCAATAAGTATTGTAACTTTTTTTTTTGAGCAACAAATCAGTTACTAACTTTATTGGAACTTTGGTGGGTACTATGGTGGGTGACGTTCTTAAGGTGGGCTGTAGTAATGGAATAAGTTTTGACTCCACCACTATTGCTGTTAGAAATATAAACATAAAAAGTATAAACATAAGATATGGTTTGTGGCTTTTGTAGATAAAATACTCAAAACTAAAAAAAAGAAAAAATTATTTTTATGAAGATTCATTTATTTTTCATTATTACCTAATTTGTGGCTTTTCCTTCAAAATGTCATATTTGCACTTATAATAAACTGACCAATGACCACAGATTTATAGTTTTTATTAATAAATAACATAAATAACAAAAACTTGTTAGTGATGTTTAAACTTTAAAATGAAATAATTCCGAAATATTTTTATAAAAGTTTTTTCGTATTTATTTTCAAATTTCAAACAAGACATTTGATTAATAACTTGATTAACAATTACTATTTTCTGTAAATGTCATTTTTTACAAAATTCTTAGTTAAGACATGGCGAACTAAAACGTTATATCAAGAAAGAGTATTAAAACCCAAACCCAAGAAAAGCAATACCACCGCGTTTGTATGAAGTAATTAAAATAAATTAATTAAAACAAATTAATAAAGATTAAATTAAATAAAATAAAGTAATTAAAATAAACAGGAAAAAAAGGAAATTTTTTAATTGTGAGTACTGCAGGTTATTGTCATTTATCTTCCTCCAGCGTATGCTTTGTGAAGTCACCTCTATCCAAGTCCGTAAACACGCTAGTATTCTCCTTTTGCGGAGCATCCTGGCATCTTTACAAGGCTAGGAACAGAGATTTTTGAGAAAATAAAAGGTATCAAAGTAAAAGTATGAAGTAAGCGATTTATAAAGAGAGAAAAAAGAAATGTAAAAAGACCAGTCATTTAGAAATACACGACAGAGAAAACTTTACGACTAAAGGGTTTCCGTATGCGTTATTTTCGCAATTACTAAAGGAATATTGTTATAAAGTACTTATAAAATTTGTAACTTTTAGTTAAGATAAGATCTACTCTAAACCTGAATGAAAAAAGTTCATAACAGCTTTTGATATCAGTCTTGCTATCGGCAGTGTTAATATTTTGGTTTGCATTATTATTGTTAATAAAGTAGTTGTTATTGGCTACCCGAATTGCGACCGTGGTGTAGTTCACAGTGGGCCAGAATTGTCTAAAATTGTCAAACTATTGATGGGTTAAATCTAGACATATGATACTTGTTTATAGAGGTTTTGGGGGGCAAGGATATTATTTTTGGGCTCCGTTTTAAATTTTGGAGCGGTCATGACCGCAAAAGTGCTTATTTTAGGGGTTGTCAAGGGTGGTATTGTGGTGTCTTGATGATTTTTAAATTAGATGGGCTATGCTGTTTATCTAGATATTAGAAACTGCGGTCAGGGAATTCAAATCTAGGCATATTCGGTCTTTAGAAGTAGTCATGATCACTTAAATGGTCATTTTAGTGGTGGTTAAGTGTGGTCTTGAGATGTTCTGATACTTTTTAATTAGTTGGGACATGCTGCGTGTCTAAATATAGGTAATTGCGGTCAGGGAATTTGAAACTTGGCATATTTGATCTTCAGGAGTGTTTATGACCGCTCAGATGATCATTTCAGGAGTGGTCAAGGGTGGTCATGGAATATCCTGATGGTTTTTCAATTAGATGGTATTTACGTAAAGGAATACTTGAAATTGTTAACCAGGCTTGACATGAGTATCTCTGATAGCAATAAAGAGGTTTTATCAATTGAATTAATTATTAAAAAAGCTAAAAATATTATAATTAGTTGTTGTTATCGCCCTCCATCTGGTGTAATTGAAAGTTTTATTTCATATTTACATTATGATATAATTAAAAAAACCAATCATGAAAAGAAGTTTAATTACTTAATAGGTGATTTAAATTTATTTTGCTTCGAATATTATGTAAAACCCAAGATTAAAAGTTTTTATAATGACATCTTTGAAAATGGTGCGGTTCCACTAATCACCAAACCGACCAGAATAACTCAATTAACATCTTCCCTGATTGATAATATAATAACAACTTATTTATTTAACGAATCTCTTAAAAAAGGCATAATTAAAAGTGACATTTCTGATCACTTCCCTGTTTTCTTTTCCATTAATACTAAAATGGAAACGTCACCAAATACAAATCAAATTTTTGCTAAACGTATTTTTAATGAAAAGAATATGGAAACATTTAAAGAGCAACTGTCTCTTCTTCATTGGGGGCACATTTCTAATTTAGATGATGCTAACCTGGCTTACAACAAACTTTTAAAAAATTTTTTTGATATATATGATATCAATTTTCCAAAAATCAAAATACATTGTAAATTAAAAAGTGTAAAATCCCCATGGATTACTAAAGGGTTAAGAAAATCATCCAAAATCAAACAAATGTTGTACAATAAATTCCTAAAACTAAAAACAGATAAAAGTAAAGCTATACATAAAAGTTACGTCAAACAATTCGAACGTCAAAGTAAAAATCTTTAAAAAAATTATTACAATGATTTACTAGAGAAATATAAATTAAATTCTAAGCGCACATGGGAAGTTATAAAGGAAATCACAGGCAGTTTTAAAACGAACACACTCACATTGCCTAAAACCATCAAATCAAATGATAAATTTTTGTATGATAAAGAAGAGATAGCTAACGAGCTGTTAAAAGATATAAATAAAAGATGTACTTTTTAAGATTTTTTCTTGTTCTATTGGGCAAGGAATTTTTCCTTACCAAAATAAAAATAGCAAAGGTGATTCCGATATTTAAGGAAGGTGATTTAACTAATGTTAGCAACTATCGTCCCATTTCTATTGGGACAATATTCTACCTGCATTTTTAAAAGTCTTGGAGAGAATTTTATACAACAGAATTTATAATCATTTATCTGTAAACAATTTAATATATAGCAATCAATATTGATTCAAAAAAAATAACTCGACAGAACACGCAGTTCTCCAGTTTACGAGAAGTATTACTAACTCTATTGAAAACTCCTAATATACAGTTGGGGTTTTTATCAACTTAGCTAAAGCTTTCAATACACAATATTCTTTTAAATAAACTAAAAGGTTTACGGTATAAACGGAAGTGTTTTAAATTGGTTAAAAAGCTATTTAAATAATCGAAAGCAATTTGTACACGTTGATGTAGTTTCACCAGTAAACTTGCTTGATATAACCTGTGGAGTTCCTCAGGGATCAATATTAGGGCCTCTTCTTTTTCTCATTTACATCAACGATCTCCATAAAGCCTAAAATTTAATGATGAATATGTTTGTAGATGACACGAACTTATTTTTATCTCATAATGATATTACATTGTTATTTCAGAATATCAATAATGAACTAGTAGGAGTTTCTGATTGGTTTAAGACAAATAAACTGTCTCTTAATATTGATAAAACGAAATGGATTTTTTTCCATCCAAATCACAAAAAAAATCTTATACCAAATGAGATGCCACTGCTTTTTATTGATAATATACTTCTAAAAAAAGTAACAATTACAAACTTTCTTAGTATGTATATTGATGAAAACTTGTCATGGAAAAGTTACATAAAAAATTTGAGTTGTAAAATATCAAAAAGCATAGGAATATTGAACAAAGCAAGGAGTTTTTTAAATAAACATACATTACTTAAACTATATTATTTGCTTATTCATTGTCACATAAACTATGCGAACATTGCGTGGGGTAATACTAATAAAAGTAAACTGGAACCTCTTTATCGTCAACAGAAACATGTGGGACGCCTTATTAATTTTAAGGATCGGTTTACTCATGCCAAGCCTCTATTAATTGAAATGAAAGTTTTAAATATATATGAGCTTAATATTTTTAACATTATATGCTTTATGTTTAAATGTAAAAACAATATTTCTCCTGTACCTTTTCATAATTTGTATAACAAAAAAGAAAAAACTAAGTACATTTTACGAAATGATAATGACATTCGTCAATCAGCTTATCAAACTAATTCTGGAAAATACTGCATTTCATTTCAAGGAGCATTACTTTGGAATAAAATAGTTTTATAGAAATTTGACTTTTCTCAAGAAGTTAGCTATCACTCTTTCAAACAAAAACTTAAAAAAGCCATTTTTTTATTAGATGATATATCTATATTCTTTTAATTTTATGTTTCTTTTTTAACTTTATATTTAACACTGCATTAATAAAATTTATAACTTAACAATTTGTAATAAGTTGTTTAACACCTTTGTTGAAGGTACCTTAAATCTGTATAACAAAACCTATATATATATATATATATATAAACCTATATATATATATATATATATATATATATATATATATATATATATATATATATATATATATATATATATATATATATATATATATATATATATATATATATATATATATATATATATATATATATATATATATAAACCTATATATATATATATATATATATATATATATATATATATATATATATATATATATATATATATATATATATATATATATATATATATATATATATATATATATAAATAAACCTATATATATATATATATATATATATATATATATATATATATATATATATATATATATATATATA